AATTAAAAGGAATGAACTACCTGTCAATAACTATATGGATGCATCTCACAAATACATCATGCTAAGTGAAGAAGRTCAGACTGGAAATGCTATAAAACCACATGGTTCAATCTATAGGGATTCTGGAAAAGGCAAAACTTCAACTCAGAATGGTTGTCTCTGGATGCCTTGCTGAAGAGATACAGCTTGGTTCAAGTAGCACAGCCTCTGGTATCACCACACCTGAATTTGCAGAGGCACTTGGAGTAGTTTACTTGGGCTCAATGCCAGTACTAGCTGTGTGACCTTCACATTATTTAATCTCTCTGTGCCTCGGTTTTACTATCTGAAAAATGGATAATAATTTATCTTACCACATACAGTAATTAAGAGGATCAAAAGTAGCCAATATTTGTAAAGCCAGTCTGACATCGAGTGCATCTTCTATAATTCTATAATTGRAGCCATTCTATAAATGTTATTTCCTTTTTCCTTAAGAAAAATCTTATGTTAAAATCTTAAGAAAGTTAACAGCCATTCTGGAATTTGTACTAATGCCAGAGAGCACATTTAATTCTCTGATAGACTAAATTAAGTGACCCCATACTTACCTGACATTTTCCCTACTATAGCAGAGCCCCATTGTTTAAAGAATAGAGGGCAACTTTATATTGAAAAAGAAAAGAAAATCCAGAAACTCAATAAATGGAAAACCCATAGCAATTATTTGTCTAAGAAGTTTAGAAATCTTTTAAATCATTAACTCAACGTGTTTTGGACTTCAAAAAACATGTACACTGAAAACAGTTGAAGCTACATACCAGAAAAGGACTAAAATTGGGACTGAAGCCCTCCTGCTTTTATAGTTAGATTTTCAAGGGATGTGAACCCTAAGATAAAGCTTCCATCTGGAATCCTACGAGATCCTCATAAATTGTTTAAGGGGCTCAGTATACCAGTACCTTWGAGCACAGCATTGTTGCAATTAAAATAAACCTGAGTCTCCCTGCTAGACAGTGATTTAAGGATTATCTTTGTTTAACAGAATAGACGGGTTTTTGTGACACATGCCTGTTTGGGCTGAGAATGATCTACACAATTATATTAAGACCAGGATACAGCTGTTTGTGACTAAGCCCAGGCTCACCAAATAAGTACCAGCTGAGCATTATACATCACAGACATCTGTTTCCTGTTTTTATTCTTCCTTTATCATTCTATCCCCATTTCCTTTCACCTGTAGGCCACCCAAGACAACCACAATTAAGCAAGCCTTGTGCTAAGTGTCTTTTTCCTTCAGACTGTTGTCAGGGTAGCTTAGTCATTCTACTTGCAGGGGTGGGGAGGGAAACCCAAGGACCCTCCAGAGTATATCCTGAAACTGGAAGGTTATTGCTTATGGTACAGGAGTGTCTTTAGGTGACTAACTTCCTCCTACACTTCCCATGAAGAACTCTTCCTGTGGAAGCAGTATCAGCCCCTGCAAAATTACAACTGTAAAMGGCATCATTAAAGAAAACCCTCCTTCACCAATAAGGCAATAACTAACCTMGGGCCCCTGCGTTTATTTTCACACTTCATACCAGGATACAGAACACAGGATGTGTTTACATTTAAGGAAATTCATTTCTATGGAAACAGTTGAGGTCAAAGCAGTTCTCCTTAGCCCAAGGCAACATCTTTATCCTTAAGGATAAAGACTAGGGTTTAGACCTGAGACTAGGGTTTAGCTCAATAGTAGAGTGCTTGCCTAGCATGCATGAGGTTCCTGGTTTGATCCTCATGTACCACAAAAGCAAAAGAATCTTAGAGGATAAAAGGTTTTATAATTGAAAGAGACTTTTTTAGAGTTTATTTTACATAACATTGTGTTTCACAGTCACTGTATTATTACATACAGTTTAAAAAAGGTGAAGTAACTCGTATAATGCATTCCATTGAATGGTTTAAGAATATACAGCAGCACAGTTTAAATACCTAATAGGAAATACTCAGGAGAAAGTGTCTTTAAAATATATTTGAAGCCAGGCAMGATGGCACATTCATGTAATACCAGCAATTTGGAAGGCTGAGACAGGAGGATCACAGATTCAAGGCCAGCCTCAGAAATTTAGGGAGACCCTCAGCAACTTTGCAAGATCCTTCTTGAAACAAAACATAAAAAGGACTGAGGATATAGCTCAGTGGTAAATCCCTAGAACAAAAAAATAATAAAATAAAAATATATATGTACGTACATATATTATACTGTATATCTCTATAGATACATATATACATGTACATATATACACATTTGAAACAGGGCTGGGGTTGTAGCTCAGTAGAAGTGCATGTTTGGCATTAATGAGGCCCTGGGTTCAATCCCCCAAATTAATTTAATTAAATAAGATAAAATAGATATAATAAATTCTGTACAATATATACAAACTATCTCCTTTGGATTAAAAAAGAAGAAAAACTGGAAAGTAGGTCAACAGTAACAGGAAGAGAATATGGGCTTTTGCTTCTTTTAAAACTTCAATATTAATGTCAAAACAAGTATGAACTACTTTTTGTTCTGATAGGAAATTTGAGGGGATTTGTCCCAACAGTAACTTAAAAATAAGATTTACTCAATTCCCGACTCTTAGGGACTCTTAATAGTTAACTCTTAACACTGGAAGTATAAGATGTGCTGTCAAAATGTTTAGAAAAAGCAGGCACAGAAAAAAAAAAATACCTCTTCTCTGATGGTTTCCTGTACTTTGTCACACTCTCCTTTGAAAGTATTGTGCACAACAAGATTGGTGAATTAAGTAATTTATTGACTGTGATATAACTTACTAAACACAGCATTTCAGAATAGTAGATGCAGAATTAAAGAATTCTGCACTTTCCCTGAATTTTTCTAATGTGAATTAACCAACCAGAGTTGAGGTTTCTTTTTTTTTTTTTTTTAATATTTATTTATTTATTTTTAGTTCTCGTCGGACACAACATCTTTGTTGGTATGTGGTGCTGAGGATCGAACCCGGGCCGCACGCATGCCAGGCGAGCGTGCTACCACTTGAGCCACATCCCCAGCCCCTAGAGTTGAGGTTTCAATATCAAAATTGGTGTCAATCCTCTTGCTTGTTTAACATTTTATATACTCTTATTCACTCATCATAACAGAAGTTTTCAGCTAAAATAAGCTGCCAAAGAATTCAGGCTCCCTTCAGAATGGGACTGTAACCAAGGTATGGCCAATAGGAGGTAAACAGAAGTTTTGTGTGGCAACCTCTAGGTAMCTTCCTTAGGAAAAGTTGGCTTGCTCCTGTTGGTTCTTATTTGGATCATGAGAGTTTAGGAGGGAGAAGCCCCAGGCTCTGATACTTCCTACAGCAGAACCAGCAACCAGTCCCCAACTGGGTGGCCACTTTGTGAGAAAAAAACAAAACTACCTCATTCACACACTGTGATTTGGAGCTCTTAAAAAGGTAGCCAAAACTAACCAACTTGAAGTCACTTGGAGTCTCTGAAAGATAAAAACTTGTTTTTAAATATTTGCCTAACCTTTGGAATTTCTAGGATTTTATGTTACCACAGAATAAGGTCTTCATGATTATTCTTATTTCCAGGGTATAAGGAATGGTTTGGTATCAAGCCAAACTACTTAATCCTGGATAAAAACTGAAGTATACTCCCAATAAATTACTTTATAAAGTTTCTACCTCAATGCATGAGGTAGAAAAAATTAACACAACAGAACACTACATGATTTAGCCTTTTTAATTTTTCATTTTAAGAAAATAACCAGGGCTGGGATGTGGCTCAAGCGGTAGCGCGCTCGCCTGGCATGCGTGCGGCCCAGGTTCGATCCTCAGCACCACATACAAACAAAGATGTTGTGTTGGCCAAAAACTAAAAAATAAATATTCTCTCTTTAAAAAAAAAAAAAAAGAAAGAAAGAAAGAAAGAAAGAAAATAACCAGCCAAGAATCATTTTATTTCTATTGTGGAAGAATTATGAATTACTTAAGATCAATTTTTAATTGCTCAAGGGTAAATTAAGCTTTTATAAGATTTAGATACAATATATCTTTGAAAAGCTAATTTAGCTTACTAACTCTTAAATTAAACCGAGTTTAAGTCCTGCACTATGGCATGAGCCTGTACTCCCATCAGCTCAGGAGGCCAAGGCAGGACTTCTTGAGCCCAGGAKTTCAAAAGCTTATTCAATATAGCAAGACTCCACCTCAAAAACAAACAAAAAACAACAAAAGAAAAATGAGTTTAATTTTCCCATTACCATTTTTATTGTGTACATAATCACTGAACAAGTTTTCCAAAGTTTTTTGAAATAACTAAAGGACAAAGGTCTTCAATGTCTGACATAAGTAGAATTATGTCTGTTAGAATATTTCTTTAAGACAGAATACTAATGGTTAATCATTATTGTCTAATCTCATCAGTGCTAGGAATTCTTGTTTCTCTAATCTCCCATATTGCCAGAAAATATATTACTTAGGAGTCATTCACTAGGCTTGCCATGGTGGTGCATGCCTGTAATCCCAGAAGCTCTGGARGCTGAGACAAGAGGATTACAAATTCTGAGGCCAGCCTCAGCAATTTAGCAAGGTCCTAAGCAACTTAACAAAACCCTGTCTCAAACTAAAAAATAGAAAGGGACTGGGATGTGGCTAAGTGGTTAAGTGCCCTGAGTTCAATCCTAGGTACCAAAAAAAAAAAGTCAATCACCAGCCTAAGCTCACCTTCCTGATCACCTTCCTGATCTTGACACTGAGTAGCAGAGCTCTCTGAGGCTACTGATTAAAAGGAGCTCATTTTATCAGCTCATTAGCACCTGCTTCAATCTTAGTTGAGCAGGCCTACTCATCAACCTCTTTCCACTTGTGTTTAATTCTGGCATGAAACAATAACAAGGCAGAAAAGAAAAGATCATAAAAAGATGGACTAGAAATATTTTTAAATATTTATAATTGTCCTTCAATCAACCAGCAGAGTCTGAATCTTTGACACACAATCTACACAGTCAATTCCTATGTGTAGTCCTTATTTTCTGCAGTGTTATTTTAATTTTAGATGAAAATGAAAAAGAGATATGACTACCCTAACAACTAACAGCTGAGGAATTATACATTCATGAAATGCAAATGACTATATACAATGATTGGAGAAATCCATATGCTTCAGTCCCTTTTCTGGTACTCTGCTACAACTCTGCTTTGCTGGAAGGGAATTCATGAGCTATAATACTTGAGGAGATTCTCATCTGTAGGTTTTAGAATTTTCTTATCTGCCATATTCACCACCCATCCTGGAGCAAGACCAAAGAAGATCTGCCTTGGATCCTTTCGAGTACTGAGCATTTTAAAGAGTTCATCTTTAGTGATATCGGGTAGAACATAGCCATACTTCTTGGCAAGTTCCAGTCTTGCTTCAGGAAATTTGGCAGGATCCGCCAGGTAACCACGGTTCTTTGCATCAGTATAATACGGCACCAGTGCTTCAGGGGGCAGCATTCGTTTTGGAATGGGTTGTCCACGCAGAAAGAATGGAACAGGTTTGCACAGAATATCTAAAAATGTTTTAAATTAAAAAAGAAATACAAATTATTGGCTCTATACTGTTACAAATTTTCTTATAATTACTAATTTTCAATTACTGAGATGAAAACCTAATTCCAAGAACTTTYTTATTAAGTAGGCTTATACTGAGTAAGCAAATGCAAATAATTCATTTTAAATAGTTTATATCTTGAAAGCCAAAGTCACTTCTGGGTAACAAATGATTAGGGAATGTCTAAACACAGGTAACATTTATTTAAGCCCTATGTTTAAAAACACAAAAATAAATTTTTATGACATTGTCTACATGTATTAGACCAGATTGAGTTCTGCTAACCACACCATTAATAGGAAATCCTAAAACAGAAAACCAAGGTGTCCAAACTACAAGTCAAACAGCTTTGAAGGCATTTAATATCTTCATATGGGGATCTTACTAGTTTAAAAAATTAGAAATATTCATTAAGATTTCTGGAAAACCAATGTTATTAAAATTAATTCTTTTAACTACAGAATAGGCAAAGAAATCTCTTGTGAAACCAACCAACAGAGGATTGCTACACAATCTCAGTTTTGTTTTTAAATGTCCTCTGACTCTGAGGGGTAAGAAAAGGCAATACATAGACATGAAATATCACTGATGCCACAGCCTTTTGGCAGTTTACAAAACAATTACACAAATAMACAATTAGTTGTAAAAAAACAATAATGTCCTACTCATCACGCTTCAGTAATGCAACCTTAACCTTAGCAGGAAACAAAACAAATCACATAAATCAAAACAAGCTCAATAAAGAACTTACCAAGATAGTACACATCACAGGGCAGTGACAAAGTTTCCCTGATTTAATCCGTTCATACATACAAAGTTCTTATTATACAGTAAGGTATCTGTGGATCCTCACCCACCACACAATAAGCTCCAGAAGGGATTTCTGACTCCTGAACTGTCATCTCTCCATCATATGGAATAGTGTCCAGCAAATACTAGACATTGACTAAATATTAGCTGAATGTAAGAATCTGACAGGTGCCTTGTACATCGCATTATCTAGCAGTATCCCAGCATAGGGCAAGTGARAAATGGCCATTAGGAGGAGGTCTCTAGACAGGCTACTCAGAAGAACTAGAAGATGACTATCAAGGGTCAAGACCAAGAATGATAAAAGCAGAGGCACCAAAAGCTAATTTATGCTCTGGACAAAAAATTCTACATACTGCACTTATACCAGAGGATAATTAAATATCTGATATTCTCACCAAGAAATTACCTGTAGCAACTGAACAGGCCTTCACAGAAGAAATATAAATGGTCAMGAAATATATGAAAAAAATCTTCAACATCTCTAGCAATTTAAAACTATACAACAAATTAAATTTAAAACTATACTACAGGGCTAGGGATGTGGCTCAGGCGGTAGCGCGCTTGCCTGGCATGCGTGCAGCCCGGATTCGATCCTCAGCACCACATACCAACAAAGATGCTGTATCCGCTGAGAACTGAAAAATAAATATTAAAATTCTCTCTCTCTCTCTCTCTCTTTAAAAAAAATTAAAACTATACTACAAATTAAAACTACATTTTAATTTAAAAGATTCCATCTCACTCTAGTCAGAATGGCAATTATCAAGAATATGAGTAACATTCTGGCAAGGATATGGGGAAAAAGTTGCACTCATCCATTGCTGGTGAGACTGCAAATTGGTGCTATCACTCTGGAAAGCAGTATGGAGATTCCTCAGAAAACTTGGTGGAATGGACCCACCATTTGACCCAGTTATTCCACTTTTCGGTACATACCCAAAAGACTTAAAATCAGCACACTACAGTAACACAGCCACATCGATGTTTATAGCAGCTCAATTCACAATAGTTAAACTATGGAAGCAACCTAGGTGCCCTTCAACAGATAAATGGATAAATTATACATACACAATGGAATACTACTGAGCCATAAAAAAAAGAATGACTTTATGACTTTTGCCAGTAAATGGATGATTCTGGAGATTATCATGCTAAGTGAAATAAGCCAATCCCAAAAAGCCAAAGGCCAAATATTCTCTTTGCTATGCAGATGCTAACGCACAACAAGGGGGCGGGGATAAAGAATAGAAGTGCAGTGGATTARACAATGGGGAATGAAGGGAAGGTAGAGGGGATAGGAATAGGGAAGACAGTAGAATAAATTGGACATACACCACCAGTGAAACCACACATTATGTACAACCACAAGAATGCGATCCTAATTAGAAGTTATACTTCATATATATATATATATATATATATATATATATCTCCAAAATATATTCTACTGTCATGTACATCAAAAAAGAACAAATAAAACAAAACAGAGTGTGGCAGGTTTTTAGTTTTTTTTTTTTTTTTTTTTTGGTGGTGCTGGGAATTGAACCCAGGGTTTGGTGTATGCAAGGCAAGCACTCTACCAACTGAGCTATATCCCCAGCCCCAATTGTGGTAACTCTTAAAAAATAAAAATAAATTACCTTTGGAATACATTTAAGAAAAAAGTTCACAAAATACTTTATATAAGCTATCCTCACTTTTAAAACCTTTTTTATTTTTTTTTTTTTCTGGTAAGGAGTGAATAAAGACACAGTATATGGGAATAACCTTGTTTCTCTGAGGAGAAAAAAGTTTGCATCAGTCCACAGTCACCAAATAAACTGTATGTATGCACCCATACCCCAAATTTACTTTAGGCCTAAAACATGACTGGATAAAGCCATTAAAAGTTCTAATAAGGGGCTAGGGTTGTAGCTCAGTGGTAGAGCACTTGCCTTGCATGCATGAGGCACTGGGTTCGATCCTCAGCACCACATAAAAATAAATAAAGGTATGTGTCCATCTACAACTAAAAAAATTAAAAATAAAAAAAAAAAGTTCCAGTTAGTGGGCTAAGTAGAGTGGAAGGCACTGGGTTAGATCCTCAGCCCCACAAAAAAAAATAAATAAAATAAAGGTATGTATCCATCTACAACAAAGAAAATATTTTTTTAAAAAAATTTCCAATAAATTAGGAAAACGTGCTTATGGCTGCCTAATCATACAAAAATGCAAAATAAATCAGGCATTATTCATCATGATCAAAGTCTTCTCATTAAAAGAACAGGCATCAGCCAGGTGTAGAGATCCACTCAAGTAATCCCAGAGGTAGCAAACATTCAAAAAATGAAGAATTTATTCTAAACTTTAAAAAATTTGGCTCAACATGATGGTGCATGCCATAATCCCAATAGTTCAGGAGGATGAAGCAAGAAGATGGCAAATTCAAAGCCAAAGCAAGCAACTTAGTGAGGCTCTAAGCAACTTAGTGAGGCCCCATCTCAAAATCAAATATAAAAAGGGCTGGGGATGTGACTCAGTGGTAAAGCTCCCCTACATTCAATCCGAGTACAAAAAAATAAATAAACGTTTGACTGAATCAACTCTGTTCGATCACAAAGAGAAAGAACTCTTCTTACTTTTAAAATATCCTTTTTAAAAAGGGAAGAAAAATGCGTATTTATTTTCCATAATTGAAAAAGTACAATTAAGTCAGTTATTCAGAAAAAATTACTACTAAATGTTAAACCTGTGATTTCATTGCTTAGTTAATGAAAGGCTCCCAAGACAACTGCAGAGTAGCCTGGAAAGGCTAAGCCCTAGAGTCTCAAGGATGACGATGACTCCCTAGACTCCAGCAAATGGCATCAGATGGCATCTGTCTGGTGAGCAAACACCACTGTCATACTCTGTGGTGACAATGACTGAAAAATATTATGACATCAAAAAACCTTCCAAAAATATTTGTGATTAATGTAAAGAAAAATATTCATTTTCATATTCAAGGAAGCTCACTTTAAAAAATGAGTGATGAGGGACTGAAATGGGAGCAAATTATTTTACATGCTTGAGTATTTTACATGAGTGTGTCAAAATAACCTCACTATCATAAATAAATATAATACACTAATAAAAACATTTTTAAAAAAATGAGTGACAGACCAAGCTAAGAGGCTCATCTACAATAAGAAAATGAGAATTATGATTTATATTTTTATAAACTTTCAATTATGAGGAAAATGAAATGGTAACTAATTGTTTAAATTCTCCATACAAAGAATATGAATATTTCCTTTTCTACTTTATACATCAAWTTTAAAAGAATTTTCTTATAATTGAGCCATTTGGTCATGAAATGTTTAACTCCCATTTTAATGTAAAACCATTAAAGAATACTTTGTAAAAGCATTTAGTCATCAGGCTGTGTTTGGTTTTCATCTCTTCAATTTAAATTGAACTGAATGAAAATCTCATTCAAGGAAGAGAGGGTAATAAAATTATAGCTGGGTGTGGTGGCACACACMTGTAATCCYGGGGAATTTGGGAGCCTGAGGCAGGAGGATCACAAGTTCAAGGCCAATCTAGGCAACTCGGTGAGACCCAGTCTCAAAAGAAAATATAAAAAGGGCTAGGGATGTGCCTCAGTGGTACGGTATCCTTGGGTTCAATCCTCAGTACCAAGAAAAAAAAAAGAAAAAAACATCTGCTGGTTTGTAACGGCTATCGAGAACAAACACAACTCGGGAAAAGGATATAACTGTACGTGTGCATGTGTGTGTGCACATGCACATGCATGTTCCTGCGGGTATGGGTACATACATGCATGCATATGCTTTTGGGTAGGCCTACATACACATGTGTGCATGTATGTACTTATGCATGTGCACGTGCTCTTTTATTTAGTACAGTCAGGAATGATCTTCCTAGTACATGAAGAAATGATCTCTCCTTCATGGCCCAGAGCCATGAAGATTCTAGGTGGAGGGAGTAATATCTGGGAAGCACCCAGAAGTATCTAGGAGGAGGGAACAGCTAAAGAAAAAGCCTGAAAGTGAAGGGGCTTGGCATGAGAAGGTAGGCCAGGGCAGGTGCCCAGTGATGGAACTAAGCAAATAGAGGGAATAGTGGGAGTGAGGCAGAAGGTAGTCCAGATCACATCCAGCTTCAAAGGAGCAGCAGGGATGCCACTGGAGCCTTTGTGGTAGCTCATGTTTTAAATGAAATCCTGTGCCAGGTTCCACCACAGGCAGGACAGACACAGAGAGGTCAGGCAGGAAGTATCCTAGTCATGCAGGCAACAGGATGGTGGTTTGGACCACATGGGCCACATGTAGCTGGATTGTGAACACAGTATGAAGAACAAACTCATAGGGTTTATTTGGATGTAAAGAAAGAGTCAGAGGACTCCAAATGTGGAATAGGAAACCAGAAAGATGGAACTGTCACTTACACAGGGGAAAATGCAAAAATAGCATGAGGTAAAAGAGAAAAGAGACATTCTCCACGTTAGGTTTGAGATCCTTCCTGAATTTTCAAGGAAAGACTCCAGTCATAGGCCTGGGTTCAGAGGACAGACTGAGAAGCTGTATCGTCTTTGGTCTGTCAGCTGCATGCTTTTTTCTTGTATCATGATAATCCACGTGCTAGATATGGATCAAATTAACAACAGTTGCCATTCACTCAGTTATTAATAAAGAAGAAAATGACTACAAGAACAAGCTTACCCAGACTTCTTGGATCATAGAAGGCTGTAGTAACTACACCACCATTTTTTTCAATCGCAGCGATAGCTAGTTCTGAAGCCAACTGTACTTCGATATTGATTTTTGCCCTAAAGGTGTCAGCACCCTGCCATAGTCAAAACAAAGTCTGTTAATAAATAGCTTGAATAAAAATAATTAAGGCACGTTTCCTTTTTATTTATTTTGTATTTGTGTGTATACTGAGGAGGGAACCCAGAGGACTCTACCATGGAGACATACCCCCAGCCCTTTTTAATTTATTTTTTTATTTTTGTTTAGTTATAAGTGTACCTTTATTTCATTTACTTATTTATATGCGATGCTGAGAACTAAACCCAGTGCCTCACACATGCTAGGCAAGCACTCTACTACTGTATGACTCCAGCCCTTCAATTTATTTTTGAGGCAGGATCTTGTTAAGTTGCTAAGGCTGGCCTCAAACTTGAAATCCTCTTGCCTCAGCCTCCTGAGTTGCTGGGATTACAGGTGATCACTACATGYCCAGCTCAAGCTTTCTTTTAAATTGTACTCTCCTCTGTAAAGTACCTGTAATTTAGTAATAATTTCTATTTAAATATATATCAATTTTTTTTTTTTTACATTTTATTTAGGCCACCCTGTTTTACCAATTTTAAACCCCTGTAAGGGCTGGGGATGTGGCTCAACTGGTATCGCGTTCGCCTGGCGTGCGTGTGGCCCAGGTTTGATCCTCAGCACCACATACCAACAAAGATGTTGTGTCCACCGAGAACTAAAAAATAAATATTAAAATTCTCTCTCTCTCTCTGTCTAAAAAAAAAAAAAAAAAAAAAAAAATTAAACCCCTGTAAGTAGAAATGGATATTTTTCAGTTTATGTATTTAGTAGATACTAACTGCAAGTATTTCATTAATAGTAGATAAATAGTAGATGAATTAATCTTCATAGCAACTATATGGCAGGGTATTGCTATACCAACTTTACAGATAGGGATACTGAAGCACAGAGAGTTTGAGTAAATGGCCCATGATCAGAAAGCTAGGATTCTAATCCAAGAACATAGTCACAGCATTTGAGGTAGTTTTTGTTGTTTTTGTTTTTCTTTTTGTGAAGCTGGGGATGGAACCAAGGGCATTCTACTTGCTAGCCAAGCACTCAACCACTGACCTACATTCCCAGCAGATTCTGTTCTTAACTACAACATTTTGCTGCATTAGCCCTAAATAATCAAGARGCCAAGAGGAAGTGAAAGTTTCCACAAGGGAGTTGGAACAGTGAGAAGAACAAAATATCTGGCAACACCTGAATTTTAGAGGGGGTCAGCCCTCATTTTAGGAAAAGGTAAAAAACAAAAATTCATTTGTACTCACTAGATTTTGTTATAATCTCTAAACTGAAAACAAAAAATGTAGTTTTATTTACTTCCAAATAAAAGATGGCACCATTGCCACTCTTTTGTAGGAAAAGAATTTTTTTGGCTATTTTGGTGTGKTTAAAACAAACTGGCCTCCAATTTGGTTCCTTTGAGTAAAAAATCTTCATGTATTTCAAAAACATTCCATCAAATCTAAAATGTAATTCTCATATTTTTACCTTTAGTATTGGTATGAATTTTTATAATCAATGGCCCCTTGGATTCATAAAACAGGGCCCTGACATATTATTTGTGATTTTTAATTACTGCTCCATAGATTGTTTAATCATCTCCCTATTCTTGGACACTGATGTCAGTTCCAGCATTCTCAGGATAATAAATAGCATTTTTAGGAAGAGCTTTATATCTTGTTTCTTTTATTACCCACTATGTACTTGTATATGTAAAATCCAGAAAATGTAAAGAATTTACAAAGCTATAAAAAATGTATGATTACATTTACTCAACCACAGCCCTAGGGTAAAGTTTTCAGGAAAACTTTTGCTAGTTTAATAGACATAGACCTGAAGTTATTGGGATGTGCAATTTAAGACCTGATGAGCTCATGGATTTTCCCATGTTAAGATATGGATTTTCCCATGTTAAGATATACGTCTGTTTCCTTATACACCCAAAGTAAAATACTGAGGCTTAATAATGTATTTGGTATGCTCTTTTCAAATTATCTTATCTGAAAAGTTTAATCAGGAGACTGCTTTTTCAAACACATATAAAAGATTTTTCCATAAACATATGCTTCCCCCTAGTGGACACTAAGTTATCTACTCACCTACACAGAAGAAATAGTAGTTAATTAACCTATAAAAATTTATGTTTATGAATTCCTGGCCAATTCCTATAAACAAAACTTATTTAGTGCAATTAGAATGGGATTTGATTCATTCCATACCTCTCACCTATAAATATTCACTGAGTGACTATCATAAATGATTATTGAAAATAACAGCAATCAAATTATCTGCCCCCAGGGGAGCTTATATTCTAGTAAGGAAGACAATGACATAAATGCCTAAATAATAAATACCAGATGTTAATATATATTCAAAGAAAATGCTTTGGGCAGGGTAAGGGAGAAAGTGTGACTGCAAGAGTAAGGCAAGTACTCTATAAAAARCTGTCAAAAAACACCATCCTGATATATTTACCTTTAAGCAGGGAACCAAAGGTAGTGAGGGAACAAGCTGTAGGATACACAGAAGATGTACAATCCAGGTCCAAAAATATCAAATAGAAAATTCCCGAAATAAAAACAATTCATCCTAAGTTTTAAACTGTGCACTGAGTAGAATGCTAACATCTAATACCATCCCATCCCATTCTAGTATATACTACCAACTCATTAGTCTCTTACAGTACCACAGTGCTTATATTCAAGTACATATTTTACTTACTAATGACTCCAAAGCATAAGTCTAGTGATGATCGAATTTTGTACAAGCCAAAGAGAAGCCATAAAGTACTTCTTCTAAGTGAAAAGGTGAAAGTTCTGGGCTTAACAAGAAAAAAAATTGTATGCTGAGATTGCTGCTAACAGCTACAGTGAATTATTAAYGTTAATCTCTCCTGTCTCTAATTGATAAATTAATCTTCATCACAGATATGTATATAAAGGCAAAAACATAGTTTCAGGCCTCCACCTTAAAGATATCACCAATGGAGCAAGTGGGAAGGGAGCCCTATTGTATGGGGAATTAAAAAATTCCTTCTATTTAACAAAAAGAGGTCTAATTCAGACTTACCTCCTCAACCAGCTGGAYACCATAGTCCCTTTTAAGAGGCTGGATAGTCACACCTCTCCCATTGACAAGCTGGGTTAAGTCAATAGGTTGAGTAGGATCAACTCGACCCAAATCAATAAGATACTGCAGTCTCTTGAGACTCAAAGGCTGATACTGGCGTCTGAAGCTATGAAACAACAATGTAACAGTTGGAAAATACAAATTAATTTTTCCAAAATTTTTAGAAATCAATTCAAAGCTTTGTCCTCTGTTTTCTTCCATCAGTTTTGAAGGTTAACAAAATAAAACCCTCCTGAGTATAACACAAGCATGTAGTGTTGCTGAATTTGCAGTAATGAAATAAAACTAGTACTTCCTTATTCCAYTAAAAATACTTTGCCTCTCTAAAGCATTTACTTCACCTATGTACACAAATTAACAAATTTAACCCACTATCTGAATTACATAGTAATGGAGTATAAAGAAWTAATTGCAGTTATCATTTACTAGGTAACTACAGTGGGCTAGATATTATGTGTTTATGTGTGTGTGTGTRCAAATACCATACATATACATATATAATATTGAAAATGCCTGTTTTTTTTATACATGAGAGCCAAATTTTCTACCTCTAGGTCTCTCCTAAAAGAAAAGAAAAAAAGAGTTTAGCATTTTCAGATGTGTGTGTATACGTGTGTGTAAATCACAATAGAGAAGCAGACATTACCATCTTCATTTTGCAGTACAATGTTTGAGCTTTTTTCCACTACTAATCCAGGCCTAAGTCTCATTACAAAAGTGATTTGTAGGACTAACAGCAAAAGGGGTTTTTTTCTAACAATASCTCCAAAATGAATTTAATGTTTCTACTAAATTACTGTTTAGGTGATTTTCAGWGTAGATTAGGGGTTTGTACTTTGAGAAACTGCACAATCTTACCTATGTCCTTCATTAAATCCATATTTTGGGATTCGGATATAAAATGGAGTCTGGCCTCCCTCGAAGCCCAGCCGTGGCCGGGTTCCTCTCTGCCTTTCTCCTTTATGGCCTCTCCCACATTTTCTACCTCTTCTCCGACCTCTTGGTCGCCTCGCCTGTAAAGAAAACAGTTGAGTTTTAAGATCTTCAGATACATTTCTAAAAACTGTATTTCGCTTCTTTGCTCTGTGTGTGTGGTTAGGTCATTCACTCACCCAACCAACCAGTATTAGCTGACACTATGTTCCAACCACTGTTCTAGCTACTCAWACATACATATAGTCTATTGGCATCTGTGCCTCTGAGGATGTAATTAATTTTTGTAACCAAAATACAAGTTGTGGAGAGCTGCAAGGGTGGGATGGGACTAGGGTTCTGTAATAGCCCAAAACTGGAGGGGGGCGGGAAATCCCTAGAATTAAATATCCACAATAAAGCTTAAATTATAATCAAGAAAATGTTTTCATTTTAAACGTAACTGTACGTATGTAACTGTTGCCAATATACACTATTTTATTTAAATACTTAATTTATTTTAAAAAATATTTTTCCTTAATTTACTTGCTGTCACTTCGCGWAAGCAATAAATTGAGTGTTACAATGACCGAACGTCGACCACAGCTTTTTTAGCTGTATTCGGTGAGCTGCAGAAGAGATAAATGACAAACCAATTCACGTCTTTCCGATGCCGAAAAAATACACTTTCTAGGAGAGCACTTCATTTTAAATCCAAATTTGAATTACGATCATGTCGTAGTGCTTGGTTCGCTCCTCTAATATGCTTTTAAATAAAGACCTCTTTATGAATGCAGAGCAGGCGGAAAGACTTTCCTCGGTGCAGTGAAGGGGTACCAGGGGTCCGGCAGGCCTACGTCCACCCCGACACCCCCAGGAAAGGCACTTCTCGGGCTTGATGTGCAGAGAAAGGCCGCTGCCATTGCCCGGGCCCCCAGCGCTCTCCCGCACCACCACTAGTCCTTTACCGGTTTCTTGGAGCCGGGATTGGGCTTTAAATTGGCCAGGCTCACACGCGGCAGGGCCCGGAGCAGGTCTAGGGACCTGGCCCCACCGGCCTGCGCTGGACCAGCCATGACCGCAKGTCCGGGAGCTTCCAAGGGCGCCCTGAGCCGCCTCCAAGGCCACGTGGTCTCGGCACAGTGCTCTACGGCCGCGGCCCCGCCCCTGTCGTGCAGCTGTCGCGCGTCGGGAGCCCTGGATTCCGGCCGTGGCTGTGGAATTTGCAATCTTGTGTCGAAAGCTAGCAACAAAGTTTTATTTTGRTACTTTGAGGCTGTGATCCTATGTTGCAAGATCCTGCTTAGTTCTCGAGTCCCCGTTTCGATTGAAAAAACATTCTCTTCCGCCAAAAAAAGGCACGCACTTAAAAAGGTGCGTTAGAGGGTCCTTTTTTTTCCGGTCAGTATTTGGCTTTGCATATTTTGTGTTAAGAGACAATGTCACGAAGCAATGTATTCGCTAAGCTTAATGTGGAACCCAGAATAAAATAATGTGAGCGGCATACACTGCGAGATACAAAAAAAAAAAAAATACCTGGAGTGGAGTTTTTAAAATGCCTGACTTTAATATTAGTGTCTGAATTAAGATTCCAACTGAATTCTCATCTGTGTGTATCGAGTGAATCACTGAATACTAACTTGATTTACTATTAATGATAGGAACCACATCGAGCGCCTAGTAAGTGCCAGACAATGCGTAAAGTTGGTCTTATTCAATTTATCTAACTAAACAACCACTCTCGAGGTAGATGTTAACCTCGTTTTTGCAGACAGAAGGTAAGGCGTGGCATCGACCCAGGTCGCACAACAGCAGAGCCAGMATTCAAACTTACCCTGCCTCCTTCTAGTACTTTTTGTATTTTGTATTTTTGTAAKGTAAGAAGGGAATATTTATTTTCGTCACAAAACACATTATTTAACTCCAAGAATAAGTGAGTTTAAACACACTGARGGAGTTTAATGTAAAAAAATAATATGTTGCTTCCCTTCTCTTTCCTTTAATATTCTTTTGCTATTTCACTGTTTTGCAAGGGAGTCGTTCCTGTTGGCTCTTACTAGCAATCACAAATATTAAAGGTGAGAAACTTTTTGGAGGACATCTGTTTATGTTTAACTAAAACGCTTTGAAGTTACCTTAAATCCAGTGTAATCTAGATCCATAAAGAAGCATTTGCATTCATTCTTTTATTTAAGCAGTATGTATGAGCAATATGCTGAATTTATTGCATGGATGAAATCAAGCAGGATTTTGTTCGCAGAAATCCAGGAGAGAATTTCCAAAATAAGTATTTTTGAAAGTTTTTGGTTTTGTTTTTGTTTTTAAGGAATACTCTTGTGTAGCCCCCGTCCAGCACAGGCTTCATAAATGAAGGTTCAGCTACMTAAGAAATCCCAAGGGAGTTTTSAATTAAAGAGACAGGCTCTACTTACCTTTAAACCAGCTCCAGGATAGCTTCTCCTAGCTCCAGCCTCCAGCTACMTATTGAGTAGCGAGGTTTACTGAAGAGGCTAGCCAGAGAGACGCCAGGGAGTGGACTTTTATTGGGGAACAAAAAATTCTGGGGAAAATCCCATCCAATGAAGATTAAGGGGGGCAGTGTCCCAAGGTCAGGTGGGACAATTGGGTCTTTGGGGTACTGGCCAGACACGCCTCCACACAGACAAGCCCTGGGACCTGAGAAGGGTGGGGAAAGCTCTGGACACAAGGTTGTGTCTAAG